ATAGAACAGTAGCAATATGTTTAGATATACAGATGACATGTCTTTCTGGACATGGTGAATACTGTACAAAGAGATCTTCCTTATCACTTAACTTTGGAAAAACGTTATCAAGCAACAATCGCTAATTGGTTGTTGGTTAACAATAAAACTTTATATGTTGTTTTATAAAACACTGCTTCAAATACCTTGGTAATTAAAATACATCATGTAAAATGTTTACATAAGATGAACAATAAATCAACACAAAGTTAAACTCTGCTACAAACATCATCAATAAAAAAGAAATTGAGCGGAAATTGAATAAAACACCCTTATATTTTTCATCATTCATTGTAAATATTATCATATGGATTAACTCAATTACTGTAAGTGAATAGCTTAACAGAAATATATTTTAGATCTATTTGTGCTAATATAATTATGCTAAAATATGAAAGTGCTAATTGAATTTTCTCTATGTTGTTCATTACAAATGCACAATTGCAAGTAAACTATATATCATTGCATGAAGTTTGTATGATTCTTTTTTACTGGGTATTCCTGTATGATAACAACAGAACCTTGTTAAACAAGTGTTTTTAATGACAATAATTTAAATTGCTTTCCAATCCAGGATAATCATGCAATTTTTAGAAACTAATACAATGTTTAAATCACATGATTTATCCCTGTCTTGAAGAAAGTTGAATTGGATTGAATTAAGAACCATCTTCCCTATTGCTTTCAACAATTAACCTAAATGTCAGAATGATGCCATACTATTTTTTTTATATTACCAAATTTATTTTTTTATAAAATGTATATTTATTTTCTTAATTCTGTGTTTTTTTTTCTTTTTACTTTCATAGCTTTCATATTTTGGAATATGAATCAATTACATCTGATGACATGTTCGGTAGTGCATAAAAATAACAGCAGGTCAAGGGAGAGGCTAATGAGAGAACATCTAACAATCAGATTAAAAAAACTTGAATGGGCATGTGCATGAGTCCCAATGTCATAAAAAGCAGTTGTTAAAATCTGCTACACTTTGCTGTTATCATTTAATACATCAAACTATGCCACTACCCTTGTCTGTTGCTATGCCAAACTGTGCCTGGAACTACCCTTGTCTGTTGCAATACCACACTGTGCCTGGAACTACCCTTGTCTGTTGCTATGCCAAACTGTGCCTGGAACTACCCTTGTCTGTTGCTATGCCAAACTGTGCCTGGAACTACCCTTGTCTGTTGCTATGCCAAACTGTGCCTGGAACTACCCTTGTCTGTTGCTATGCCAAACTGTGCCTGGAACTACCCTTGTCTGTTGCTATGCCAAACTGTCCCTGGAACTACCCTTGTCTGTTGCTCTGCCAAACTGAGCCTGGAACTACCCTTGTCTGTTGCTATGCCAAACTGTGCCAGGAACTACCCTTGTCTGTTGCTATGCCAAACTGAGCCAGGAACTACCCTTGTCTGTTGCTATGCCAAACTGAGCCAGGAACTACCCTTGTCTGTTGCTATGCCAAACTGTGCCTGGAACTACACTTGTCTGTTGCTATGCCAAACTGCATCTGGAACTACCCTTGTCTGTTGCTATGCCAGACTGAGCCAGGAACTACCCTTGTCTGTTGCTATGCCAAACTGTGCCTGGAACTATCCTTGTCTGTTGCTATGCCAGACTGAGCCAGGAACTACCCTTGTCTGTTGCTATGCCAAACTGTGCCTGGAACTACCCTTGTCTGTTGCTATGCCAAACTGTGCCTGGAACTATCCTTGTCTGTTGCTATGCCAAACTGAGCCAGGAACTACACTTGTCTGTTGCTATGCCAAACTGCATCTGGAACTACCCTTGCCAGTTGCAATGTCAAACAAGAGAATTGGTAGAACCAATGGATAATCCCCAAAAAAATACAAATGGGCTCATTTTCTTTTTTATAATTTTTTCCAATATCTCTGTTTAAAAAAATCATAATACAGTATTACCAAGCATGAAAATATGTATGACAAAGGGCAGCAAGAAGGCATCGGAGAAAAAGAAGTTAGGACAAAATTTAAGTATGAAAAATAGCAAAGGGCAATAGCGCCTAAATTATGTAACAGAGAATGGTTCTTGTATGCTGCACTTTTCCTTATCGAGATCTATCAACCTATGGAGTTTCATGTTGATACCTTTTGTATTTATTTTCTGATCTGCTCTGGACAAAATTATGATGGACAGACAGATGGATAAACGAAACAAATGGATGGACAGACAGATGAACAAAGTGATGACTATATGCTCTCACCTTTCATCAATAATTTCATCTCAGGTAGTGCAACTGATATTTTTTATTCCTGCTGTCTACTCAGAAATGTATTAGCTATTCACCAAGAAACATGGCATATCTACTATATGCTGCTATTTCTACTCAAATGAGACTCCATGAACTACTAAATCTGCATCAATTCCCTAAATACTAACACAACTAATGAAATGATTTTTAACTGAATATGATTAGCATGAGTAGCTGTTGATGTAACAGAGAAGCTGTAAGATAAATGTAAGTGAGAGACTGTGAGATAAATTTAAGTGAGAAGCTGTTAGATAAATGTAAGTGAGAGGCTGTGAGATAAATTTAAGTGAGAAGCTGTTAGATAAATATAAGTGACAGGCTATGACATTATATGAAAAGCTTTGAGTAACAGAGAACTTGTGAGTTATATATGAAGTGAGAAGCTGTAAGATAAATGTAAGTGAGAGACTGTGAGATAAATTTAAGTGAGAAGCTGTTAGATAAATGTAAGTGAGAGGCTGTGAGATAAATTTAAGTGAGAAGCTGTTAGATAAATATAAGTGACAGGCTATGACATTATATGAAAAGCTTTGAGTAACAGAGAACTTGTGAGTTATATATGAAGTGAGAAGCTGTTAGATAAATGTAAGTGAAAGGCTGTGAGATAAATTTAAGTGAGAAGCTGTTAGATAAATATAAGTGACAGGCTGTGACATTATATGAAAAGCTTTGAGTAACAGAGAACTTGTGAGTTATATATGAAGTGAGAAGCTTTTACTAAATGTGAATTGAGAATTTTTGAGTTAATGTAAATGAGAAGCTATGAGTTAAAATGAAAAGCTTTGAGTAACAGAGAAGTTTAGAGTTATGTAAGTGAGAAGCTGTGAGATTACGTGAAAAACTTTGAGTAACAGAGAATTTATGAGATATCTGTGAAGTGAGAAGCTGTTACTAAATGTAAAGTGAGAAGTTTGGAGTTTATGTAAGTGAGAGGCTGTGAGTTTATTATGAAAAGTAACAGGGAAGTTGTGAGTTACATAAGTGAGAAGCTGTGAATAAATGTAAAGTGAGAAGTTGTGAGTTAATGTGAGAAGTTAATATATGTTAAGTGAAAACTTTGATTTGATGTAAGTAACATTAGAAGCTGTAAGTAAATGTAAGTAACCAGCTGTGAGTAAATGTAAGTGACCAGCTGTGTGTAAATGAAAGAGAGAGACTGCGAGTTAATATCATAGAGAAGATGTGAGTGACAGAGATGTTGTAAATTAAATGTGAGAATTTATGAGTAAATATAAGTGAGAAGCTGTGAAACACTGCCCATTAAAAGCTGTGAGTAAATTAAGAGGAAGTTGTGAGTATTAATATAAGCTTTGAAAGGTGTAAAAGCATAGATTTAAACCAGAGAAGTGGATGATCAAAAGCTTTGGGTTAATAAATTGAAGTTGATAAAGGTGGCATGATAGAAGGAAATATAAGACCACAGAACTGAGTTCAGTACACTGTAAAACAAAATCGTAAAGATAAATAAAACACAATCAACAGATGTGTACATGAACATATGCTAAATTAACATATTTATTAATCTATGTCGTCATACCTTGTACTTCAATATCTCTCATTACTAAGTGATCAATATTGCTATTTTCATTATGAGAATTGGTTTATACTCGACAGGCCTAATAATGATGTAAAAATTCCATAACTTATCAGAAATTACATTGAGAACCAAATCTAATTTAACTATTAATACTGAGAATTAATAATTTGTTCACCATTTGCAGAGGGTATCAAGAATACTGGTATATATGTGAATTTATGGATTATAAGTAACATGAAACCTATAGCTACAATTGTTTGATAGAAAAAATGCAAATAAAAACAAGAGGCCCAATTGGCCTGCAGTGCTCATCTAACATGCCTCTAGGCCTTTTAGTTCATGAGAAGAAGTCATTTAACTGTTTTAACAGTATGACCCCTGTGACCTTGAGTATAGGTCAAGGTCATGTTTTTTGGCAAAAATTTGTAGGGTTTCATGTGAGGAATATTCCAGCCAAATATTATGCCTAAAGGCCTTTTAGTTCACAAAAAGATGTCATTTAAATGTTTTAACAAATCTGGCCCCTGTGGCCTTGAATATAAGACAAGGTCATCTTTTTTTTCGCAGATTTTGTTTGGCTTTATCTGAGGAACATTCCAGCCAAATACCATGCCTCTAGACATTTTAGTTCATGAAAAGAAGTTGTTTAAAGGTTTTAACAAATTCAGCTCCTGTGACCTTGAATGTAAGTCAAGGTCATTTATTTTTGCAAGCTTTGTCAATCTTCATCATAGGAACATACCACCCAAATAGCATGCCTCTAAACTTTTCATGAAAGGAAGTCATTAAAAAGTTTTAACAAATTTAGCCCTGGTGACTTGATTATAGGTCAAGGTCATTTCTTTTTGCAAATTCTGTTGGGCTTCACAAAAGAACATACCAGCCAAATATCATGCCTCTAGGCCTTTCAGTTCATGTGGCCTTGTGTGACCTTAATTTATAACCAGTTGGTGTAGCTGATTATGTATGACCAAATTGGTAACCAGTTGGTGAGTTAATTCTTTATGGCATTAACTTGTAACCAAATAAGAAAGTAAATTTTGTGTGACTTTGTTAACCTGTTGGTAGTTAATTTAATGTGACCTTGATTAGTGTTAGTATTTATAACCATAACTGTTAGTGTAGGTATAACCATAAGAAGATACTCACTGCAGCCTTGTTCTGTAGACATCAGATGAGACCGTTCATCATGATCAGAGTTTTTCGCTTCCTCAGTCATCATTGTTAATTTTGAGCTTATAAAATACCTTCAGAATTCTTCTCATATCCTTGAAGCTCCATACCATACACTCAGTTCATAATCTGTAATTAATGTATGTATATGTACAGGCAAATAATGGTGAAAACAATAGAGCCAACTTTAGTAATTCTAATGTTGTCCTGATTCCTCAAGTGACAATGCAATAAATTATGTTTTCCCATAAGTGAACATAAGCAATTATGGCATGTTTTGGTTTTTCATAATTTTATGTTTTAGTCTAAAATGATGCTATATCTTGAGCTCTAAGCACACAGACAATGACAGGAGCTTGTTCTGACCCCTTTACTTTTGCCTGGTGAATATGTATATTTTGAGGGCTGAACAAGGCATGTGATGCATGACAACAAAAGTGTTACTTTGGCGATAGTAAGTTCTATAAACCTAATAGGAACTGCATATTATACATGTCATACCCGGTACCTTTATTCACTGCATACTTTGAAAATCGTTTTAAAGAGGAATCTACCTTCGCATGTGGTGTATTGTTTACATAATGGTGTATGACAGCAAAAAATAAAATGTTTTTTCTTTATACATTTATGAAGAAAAAAATTTAACAAGGAATCCCTGATGGATCACTACTATATGCAGTTATGTGAATAATCTTGTCCGAGATGATTGCTTACTTACCAGCTGTTATATACCTAGAACACGATATTAGATGTTTTCAAATGTAATGAAAATGCTGTAACATGGATGTACAAACATGTGTCACAGCATTGATCTACATGTGTATTCACATTATCAGCAACACCTTGGAATCAAACTTATGACCAATATCTTTTGCTTACTTTTGTCATATTTCAATATATATTCTCATTGACAATTAAAGTAATGCCTGGGGCGATTTTTATGTGGCTACTTTCTCCAAACAAACCCATCCCAACAGACAACAGGGAAACTGTATGGAGGTTATAACTTGCCACACTATTTCACCTTTGGGTGCATAATTAACTACAGGTGTTAAATGGTTGTTTTATGGCCTGTGATCATAAAATGAACAAAATGAAACTTGTCCACGATTCATTTTTTGCATGTACAACAGCTTGCCCCTTGCCATTAATATTGAGATGAATACATATATAAATATATAATTAAAATTTCTTTGTCAGACTGTTTAACCTGTCTGTAAATACACACTGAAGATTGTGTCCCGACACCATTTATAATTAATAATGCTATTAACTCCCCTTATATTTTAATAATAACATTATATCACAAGGTATGTTACTATGTAATGTAATACAATCGACTGAAGATGGCTGCGAGACCTGAACATGTTAGCTAATTCATTTGCAATGTCAAGTGTTTGATTTTCTATAAAATATACAATTCAGCAAATTCACCCTGCTTTAATGATGAATTTATAACCATAAATTGTATTTACAATTCTCCCTCATACTCTGAATTTTTAATTTGAAATAGAAACAGGTAAATGACTGCAACAAAAAATGCCATCTTTTTAACATGACCCAATAGCAATTATGATACTGAATATATCTGGATAAGATATACTTATTTTTGTTATCTAACGTTTTGCTTAAATCACAATTTAGAACATTGACATCATTCTCCAGCAACTACAGTGCATAGACATTGGAAATATTTAGTAGGTGGGTATGAATCTACCTGCATTCTATGTTAAGCCACAATATAATCAATGGAGATGATAGAGTTTGTGGTGATTTTAGTCTTCTTTTGTTGCAAATGTTTAAAAGAACTTTTTGTTCCTATCTCAAATGATCCTGTATTTAGGTAACTAACTTACTACTCAAAGCGGTTACTATCTCTCAAATGCAGGCTTGCATGAATTGTGTCCCACCTGTTAACATGTTAAAAAGGAAATTTATTTAACTTACTTGATCCGGTTGACAGGCGTCTTGTCTGATGATCAATAAACCGACTACAGTGATCACAAGTGGTATCCTGGTTTTATGTATTGATACGAGTACGCTTACGCAAGAAACCTGGATGGACGGGTCGGTAAATAGAATGATTTTCTTGACCTACTCCCTTGGAAATGAACACATAACATAGTCGAACATAGAAACCGCTAAATAAATAATAAATTCAAAATGTCATACACGGCTTTTTATGGACTTCATATTTGAATACGGAATAGCACATACCATCAGTATATTACGACAAAAAACCAAATTGATAGATAACCAAACAGTGGTTGATCACATGATCTAGGTTGAGTTATGTTTTCCCGTAATCGGGTTTAACTGGCGTTTCTTTCAAGCGCTCGGGCTATCTTGATTTGGCTTTTTCTAATAATAGTTAAAACCCGGACATTTTTCCGTCGTGGGATTATTTTATAAAAACAAATGTGGAAAGCCACTTTTGTGTTTCTGTCCCGATCTGTTCCGATCAAAACTTCAACAGATTTGTTGTACAAATGCCGAATTTTACCAGTGACGTAAGCCAAAATAACTGTTCAGCGCAGAAATATAATTCTTAACTTTAACGATTTTTACAGTGATTTTATTAGTTTTCGTAAATAAGCTTGTTCATAACGACATATCAATTCGCTTATTTCAACAGTTATCTTTATTTTTATTGTTAAACGTATTTTTTAGAGAGTAGTGGGTGAATTATCTGCACGTGCTAAATACAACTGTTTCCCATGTGAAGAAATAGGCTCGCTCAATTAATTAATATTCATAAAAGAAAAACGGCAAAATATTTGTGACGCCATCAAAGCTTGAGAGGTGGCAAACATGAAAACAGGGGTTAGGAGGGGGTACAAATACATTGTTCATTTTTTTACTCTGTAGCCAATATTAAATGTAGGGGCAAAACAAAAGTTAATTCCTTTTTATTTGTCAAATAATGTATATGAAGTTGAATGCACGAGGATGTAAATTTATGCTATTTATTCGAGAACTGCACTTGTTCAATAGTATTTAAAAAGAATTCGGCAGTCATATTTACATTTGAACTGTGACTTTATGATGGCCTCTAATACAGCAGCAATCTAATCATTATTAAGAAAAACGGTTGAACGGTGACACCGGTTTAGGATACCTGATGAAGATTTTTTTCTTCATACGGTTTTTTGCAAGTTATAAGCCTAGTTACCTCGTTGCTGACCCCTTAAAATTTTGATCACAAATGCGTTATTGACCATTTCAAAGGTCTCAGGGACCTTTAAATCTGCTTCTTCTTCGGTATTGTTTCCGGAACCTGAAAATATCAAGTCGGTTCTGTGTATTACATACGGTGAACCTTGCCGTTATCGAAGCATTGACACCAGTAATGTCATCCAAAGTCATCGAAGTCATCGCTTACCGCTTCAGTTTTGTGATTCTTCTGGGAACCTCGAAAAAATAGCATAATGATATTTTTTATATCAATGCATTCCAAATGGTGTAACGTTTAATAATTGACCAGATAAAATGTGCCCGGCCCCGCTAATTATAAGAATGCACCCATTCTCTGTTCTCCTGCTATACCTTTTTTGAGAAATTTTTTTTTCAGAAATAAAGATGGCGGATATGCAAATTAAGTGAGCGAGCTTAATCTGCCGTATGTGTCACTGGTGATTACAACAAACATATATGGCGGGCGTATTCCGACAATGACACCGTCAATTGCAAGATAAATAGAGAACACATGAAGGAAGATAGAAGTGGCGAGTCTCTGGCAGACTTTTGTCTTTCTGTCAAGAGCCAAAATGCAGCTTTTATCTGAAGAAACTGACTATGTATTCTATTTATCATGCAACACTGATTGAAAACCATACTATCAAAACTTCAACAGTTTTGTTGTTCAATCTTTGTTTACCTGTCGTTGACGTTACGCTGAATTTTGCATGATTACGTGCTCCAACACAGAAAGCACGCAACTGTAGTTTCAAACTTTAACGGATATGACAGCGATTTTATGCATTTTCGTAATTAAGCATACTCATTACAACATATAAATCACTCCTTTCAACAGTTATTTATATTATCAAGCGTAATTTTAAAGTAAATTCAGAAACTAATGCACGTGCTAAAATGCAGTTGTTTTCCGTAACTGCCGAATACAGCAAATATATATTGTAGCACGTGCTGCAGGATGATAGTAGAACACACGTCGACATTACAACTTTTGAGCACGGGCGTAGAGACTAAATCCGTGACATCAATAAATTCTTATTTCTATATCATAAAGATTATTGTAAGCTTTCGACCACTAAGGTTTTAAGTTAACTTGTCTAATGTTACTGTTACAAGCAATGTAGTTGTGGTCAGATTACATTTACATGTAGGTAATATTAAAGGAGTGGTAGAAACCATTACCTAGAGCAGAAAAATGTAAATGGGTTCCGGGAGCTGTCTCCCTTACACTTGGTCACGGACATAGTATGTCCTAATCCGAAGGGTTCTGATTATCTATCCGCGATTTTATTTTGTCTTTGTCGCGGACCGATAGTCGGAACTCCTCCATATGTAACTAGCGACATTTACGAGGGTCGGCATGCAGACAACGTTTTATAAGGTTTACAACAGCGCGATAGTTGTAAATCATACATCGATGGAAAGATACACCATTTTTCTACTAATTTGCGTTATCTGTCAAAGCAATTAAATGTTCAATTGCAAACCAAGTATTTCCGCTCATTTGCTCGAAAACTTTACTTCAACAAAGACTTTGCTTTTGGTAAGTTTACAAAAGAAACTGTATTCAATGCCACCAGGCTTCCTTGCCCATGAGTCGTCCGTTTGATGGCAAGTAAACCACGTTCTTAGATATGAAGTCTGTGATTAAACTCACTTGTAACAAAGCCTTGTGTACTTTGTGGTAATCCTTGTGAAAACGTCTTTCACTAATTTTTATAGTGCATATCCAGCTATCTCTAAGGGACACCATGGGTTACGTCCCCTTAGCGTTTGTCGAGTCGTAGGCACGAGAGCCCACAGGAAGAATGGGACTAGTCATGGATGAGTATTTTTATAAAATTACTATTACACACTAAGTAGATAGCATTTTACTCGGAGACCCGTAAAGACATGGTTATATAAGTATCTGTTGTAGTCTTCATAAAGGTTACACATAGCATGTCGGAGTGCATATGGTCAGTTATTTCAAAGGACGCGCCAGTAAAAACCCCAACTGAGAACCCCTGTGCTTTACCTGAACACGTGTGAACTATAACCATCTCTTTCATGGGATAATTTCTCATCGTTTGACTCTATGTCCTATATGATTTCATACAATACTATAGTCAATATACGAAGAAATCATCTGATTTGGTCAGGTTGCGTATGATAAAGACATCATTGGATTTGGTTTAAAAAAAAAAAATAAAAACTGCGAGAAGATCTAGAATTTGAAAAAAGAACAGTTGGTTATTACCGTAGCAATTAAAATTTAAAGATTTACAACTGAAAACTCTTGATAAAGGATTCGGATTGGACGGGATCAACAACATCTACCGTTAACTATATCTTCAAATAGCCCATTACAACTAGGGAAAGAACGACAATGATAAGAAATTGTTTAATCAAAGCATTTTTAAAAAGACATTTTCCCTACTGTGGCAATGTTTCTACCCAATATAGATACATAGTACATAGCAAATCTCGAATTCATTGAACTCGTACATTTTATTTCTCAGTAAGATTATAAATAGCAGTTAATAAGTCAATTCATATGTGTAACCATTTGCTTGGTTGTTGCAACATTAATCCATGTTCTTAATTTTCAAGCAACAAGTCCGTGATTTTTTCACAGTCATCTTCATACCAATTCAAGAAATATTTTGATCTAAAATTTCACTACTTTGAATGTTGCGTTCATTTAGGATAAACACGAAATTTTGTTCAGATATCTTCATCTAATCGCAAAGATTAATTGAAATATTTTCAGACACGTGCAGTTTTTCAGTTAGTCCAGTAACAAAAGCTTATTACAACAGTAATACTTATTGTAGATATTTGCATTTTCCATGATAGAAATCAGTGTTTTCTATATGTAGATGTGCATTGTATTTTGTGAGAAGGCGTACAATTGTTCTAAGGTTGACAATAAATATTTTTGAATTGATAACTGTCTGAAAATTCTGGCAAATTTCATATGACTGTTTACCTTCTACATAATGCTATCGTCGACATTATCTAATTCCCCAAAACTTCAAAACATTCATTTGCAATCTGCCGTTGCATTGCATAAAAATTGTAGCTATAATCGATCTTTCCTATTAACACTCATAATATATCGATCTGACCCGACTCAAAAAATGTACAGCTGTGAACTCCGGGGTTTTTCTTAAGCGGACGCCCGATTGCCCGTGCCGGGTTAAAATCGGCGCGGGCAAGTCTGTTTTCTATCACGGTTGCCCCCCGGACAAGTGAAAATTTCCTTAGCGAGCGTCCGTCGTTATCTTTACATTCGCGTATTTGTTTTCCTTTCGGGTCATTAATTTGCTCCTGGATCCGGTATGCGTGTGTAAAAGCATTTTTGATTGGTCATTAGGATGGGATCGGACCAATGATGTTGCACGGAACATATACGCTATGACAGCGATATGAAAATGGGGTCTTCTGCAGACAGCCTTGTCTGGGAGTGTTCGTTTTGATTAAATCTAAAAGTAACGACTGTTGCAATCGAAAATGGCAGAGAACAAAAAACTCTTTTCCATATTTCAAAAACAATCTTCAACTGAATCATCGAAAAAAAACATCCGTAGAATTTATTGCTCAACCTGAAGGAAACACAAAAACTCAGCCTCAAACTCCTGGTATTTTAGAAAGACAAGATTTTGTTTCTCAGTCTACTCAGACTAGTCTATGTTTATTAAATTGTAATCCAAAAGTCACACAAACTGATACATTTGAACTTGATTACAAAGATGATTGGGAAGCTGAAACTGAAAGCTATACTAGTGACTGATTTCTATGAAGATGAAATGGATGAAAGTTAATTTGAAAAACATGTCACAGGGAGGACCGTTTGAAACTGGCAAAAAAGCTTATAAAGAATTTGCTAGCCTCATATACTAGAGACTGCTTCAAAGGAATTTAGGATGATTTCAAATTATTCTGT